TCCCCACTGGAACTTGACGTGGCCCTGGACGGGGTCAACGTCAAATCCAGCCCGGGTTTGGATAACGTAGATTATCTGGTGCTGAGGAAACTGCCGCCACTGGGCAGGGCTGCACTCTTGAATCTTTATAATGCCGTTTTGTGCTCGGGGTCTTTTCCAACGGAGTGGCGTAAGTTTCTTGTCTTTTTTATTCCAAAGTCGGATGGAGTGAAGTTCCGTCCGATTTCTTTGGCTTCCTGCCTCTGTAAAACCATGGAAAGAATGGTCGCTAATCGTCTCAACTAATGGTTGGAATTCCACCATAAACTCCCCAGCTCGCAGTATGGTTTTCGCAAACAGAGATCCTGCGTCGACAACCTTACCCTATTGTATGGCGAAAGAGTTTTCAGGAAAACGGTGCAGTCTCAGCGGCGTTTCTAGACGTCCAGTCCGCTTATGATAACGTCCTAGCAGATGTTCTTGTCAGTAGGGTGGTTGCCTTGGGGGTTCCTCTCCGGACGGCCGAGTTTATTTACAACCTGGTGTCGAAGCGGCAGGTAACGTGCTGCTTCGGTGATCTGGAAGAGGTTAGGTGGGCTCACAAGGGCCTTCCACAGGGATGTGTCCTTAGCCCCCTCCTCTATACCGTGTACGTTATGGAGTTGGATAGAGTGTGTTCTCCGAGATGCAAAGTATTACAGTATGCAGACGATGTCTGCCTTTACACATCTACATCGGAGGTAAGTGAAGGCCTGGCGGTTCTTGAAAAGTCGGTTGAAAATGCCATTGGGGCTCTGGACCCACTTGGCCTGGATCTTTCAGCTGCGAAGACCCAGCTGTGTGTTTTCAGCTGGAGGGACAGAAAGTTGATGGAACCCGTTTACACGGGCGGCAGACTATCGTATAGGCGTCGAACTCCATGGGTTACGGTACAGGGGGTTAGAGTGGTTTCGTCACCCAGAGTAAGGTTCCTCGGAATGACTTTTCAGTCAGACTTAGGCTGGACACATCACGTGTTAGGTCTGGAGAGACGGTGTGCCAATTTCTTGCGTACGCTTAAGTGCCTCGGACGCACGTGGTGGGGCGGGGACCCACGTTTGTTGTTAGGTTTGTATAGGGCTATGGTTCGATCCAGGCTGGAGTATGGAGGTTTCCTCCTTCAGGGTCTCTCTCGTAGGCTGGGCTCCAGACTGGACAAACTACAGATGCGCGCTTTGAGGATTGTTTTGGGGTATAGAACTTCAACCCCCTTAAATGTGATCTTGGGAGAGGCTCGGGAGCCCCCTCTGTTTGTTCGTTTCCGCTTCTTGTGCCGAAACTTCTTGTCACGAGCGGCCACTATGACGGCCCACCCGTTATGGGGTTTGTTAAGTAGTATTCGATCATCTAGTCCGGGTCTCCCTGGTGCTAACCGGGTGGCTTCTTTCCCTCTCGTGAAAGCCTTTGACGAGGTAGACCGGTGGACCCGCCCCTTGTTTTCGTCAGATGTTCCGATATGTTTTGCTTTCGGCTTTAAACCATTGGTGTCAAGTTTACCGGTCGATCTCTTCGCCGGGTTTTCTGTACGAGAGGGGATTAACGCAGAGGCAAAGTTCAGGGAAGCTTTTGGTGAAGAGTTACAGAATTCAATGTGCATTTTCACGGACGCCTCGAGGTCGGAGGAGGCTCCGTGTTCGGGTTACGCGCTGGTCTCTCAGGATGGACGTTACGTGCGTCGTTACAAGTCGGTGGGCTTCGTCTCCTCGTTTTGCGTGGAAGCCATGGCCATTGTCGAGGCTTTGGAGCTGGCACGAACGGAGGGATGGCAGTCGGTTGCAATTTTCTCAGACTCAAGGTCAGTTCTTTCAGCGGTACAGGCTAGGTTCGTTCCGGGCAAAAGCTCGTACCTCGTGCTCCGGATCAAGTCCTTGGTCCTGGGGTTAACTGAACGGGGGGTGCGGGTAAAGTTGGTGTGGATTCCTGGTCACAGCGGAGTGGCGGGCAATGAACGGGCGGATGCCCTTGCTAGGGACGCGATGGTGTGCGGATGGAACTCCCAGGTGGGCGTCCCCTTGGGTGAAGTTAAGAATTTCTGGAAAGCAAAGGCAAGATCAGAGTTGTTGGAATGGTGTCGAGAAGAATCCAGAACTAGGGGTAGCTATTATTGCGGTCAGTTTTTGACCGATGCCCGAAGACCTTGGTTTGAGCAGTTGAACCTAAGCCGCAGGGCGGTGACCTCCCTCAATCGCCTCCGCAGTGGGCACACTTCCTTGCGCGCAAGCCTTTTCAGGTTCAGGATCGTGGACTCCCCCTTTTGTCAAACGTGCGGCCTTGAAGAAACTCCAAACCATGTTTTCTGGGAGTGCCCAGAATATGACAACCAAAGAAAGCTGTTACGGTCTGCCCTGGTCCGAGTAGTCGGACACCTCCCTCACCCAGTCGAGTTCCTGTTATCCTGTCTGGATAGTGTGGTAACGGTAGTAGTTTGCAGGTTTATATGTTCTTTACCTATTTACATTTAAAAGTTAGTGTAAGACGTGTTGAACTCAATGTAATTGTTTTGTTTATGTCCGTGAGTTTTTATTTAGGTAGTTAGTGGTAACTTTTGCTAGTTAACCGTCCGCCATGCTAAGAGTCAGCTTTTGTTTAGTTTTATCAATGTAAGAGACTTTACTCTGTTTGTTTTCTGATTACCTGACTCTCGCTACAGCGGGTTTGTTAGTTTTAGTTTGTTTTGTTCTCTTAGGTCGTGGGTAGCTACTCCTTCTTTAGGAAGTCGGGTACGTGTAATCACTAGGATAACTTTGTAATTTTAAGTTGCTTCAGACCCGACTCCGGTAGTTTCTGTGTTTTGTTAATTTTAGTTCGGTTTAACTGTTAATTTTTAGTTTTTGTTGCGGGGTGAACGAAGCTTAAACTTTGTACCTCTCGGTGCATTGTTACGTCTACCTCGGTGCGATAAACGTCGTGTACAAACCTTTAGCTTTAAGGTGCTTTTCAGGAGAGTGCCCCCTACACACTACTCCTGCGTAGTGCTACCCGTTTATGTAATCACTTGGTTTTCTTATGTGACATGTACTAAGCCTAATAGGAGCGATTCCTGGGGCGTCTTTTTTACCTTAATAAAAAAAAAAAAAAAAAAAAAGATAATATCATCTACGAGGCCGCGTTTAGCCATTGCTGAAATGCCCACATGTGACGTCACGTAGATGATATTATCTTTGCTTCACCTCGACTCGTGGATTCATATCTGCAGGCCGTGTCTATAAGTATATATGGTCTAAGCATGAAACAGAATGTGTTCCTAGACCGATAACAGTTACACTGGGTTCAAATCAAGAAAAGAAACTGAATGCAGTGTTCACAGTTTTGACTCTTTTACAGCATGCTTTAGCGGTTGAGGAGATGCGCACAAAGCAACGATCAAATACTCACTGCTGTTGTGTAAAATGTATCCTCGCAATAAAATCTTTCTTTAATAAACAGCTTTTGGTTTGTTTTTTAGCCATAATTTATTGGCTCTGAGGTTATTAATATCGTTTACTATCTCTGATTAATTCAAAACATAATAACAAATATAAATTTTTATTCTCTCGTATGCATTTAAAGATAAAAATTAGTCTGGCAAGACGGGGACGTACACGCACACACAAACACAAGAATCACATATTCTAAGATTTGAATTTGTATAATAATATATTTGCACAACACAATAACGTTTAAATAACATATTTACACTATGTACACGAAGTGTGTTCTAGTTCATCGTTTTACAGATTAGTTGTCGAATCTATAGCACCGCGAAACAAATAATCCCGCAATTTGAAATGTATACATGATATGAAGTGAAAAAAATGTTGCGCACTGTGAGCTACGGAAATTTCGAAGCAAGCAACTTTAAAAACTTGCGCGAATCACTGTAATATCTTTTCGCAAAAAAACTTTTGCAATACTTTTTTTGTACAATTAAAAATATTTCGATCGGTAGCGTAATAACCGAGAGCATACAATCGTTTTGTTTCTTATATAAAAGTAAAGAAACTGCTTCTCATTATTATGTATTTTTTATGAGATTTTTGTAAGGAGCTCCTTCATTCTTGTAGAATTTTAACGATAATTCAAGATTTTACACTTCACTAAAAGTTACGTTTGTTAGAATATTTTAGAAAAAGACCTATTTTTTTTAAATTATTGGATCTGCATTATTCGCATTTTACATCGACGAGTGAACAATATTGTATTGCGCTGATTTTTGCGCCTCGAAGGAGTGTTCAATAGAGACAGATATGCTAATAAGCAAAATCTCCAAATATGTAGAATTATTTAGATTCTTAAGAATATATAGTATTGTTATATATATACACATCTCACACAGTCTTTGATCAAGATTAACAAAGCAATTTTGTATAATCAAAATTGTATACAAAACTTGTTAAAAGCGAAACTGTTGTCAGGCAACCATACATACGCACAAAAGTCCATTTGTTTACATATAATTGAATGAAGTTTATCTTCATCGCATGTGTATATATATATACACACACATACATACATATATATATATATAAATGTATATATATATGTACATAAAAACGCTATCTTGATGTTATTAGATATTTAAAGTGATAAAAGATAAACCGTTTATTCCTGCAGAAATTTCATTAGAGAGAAAATAAAGTCGGATCTCATCAGTTGAACATTTGGGAAAGATGATTTTTCTGTACAATGACTACAATGTAACTCGAGTAGTGTTGCTGATTATAGAGTCCTACATAAAAGTAATCAAGAACACACAAAAATGATTTGCCAGTTTTGTTAAAAGCATATTTTCTTTTGTGAAATATACATAAATATAATATGTCCACTATAAAATTTTTTAAGAACTGTTAAAAAGTTTGTAAAGAAGAGGATCAAGGGTGGAGATGGAGGAAAGGACAAGAAAAAGGAAGGACGTATTAGGAATACATTAAAACTTCCCTTATGTGAAACCTAAATATCTAAAGCATTTTTCAAAAGGATGGTAAGTATAATCATATAATATATTAAAGTTGATGTTACTTTTTAATAGCTTAAACATACTAATATCAATCGTAATAATTACAAGCATTGTGTTACGTCCTTATATAGTCAGCCAAGTACGATCGTCGCTGATAAGTTCTCTCTCTCTCTCTTTCTGTCTCTTTCGTTCGTTTATAAATCACCATTTATATTTTTGTCACACATTCCTCTGCCTCATTTCCAGGCATTTTTCTATCCTTCATGTACACATTCCTCAATCACTCTCTCTCTTTTTCCTTTCTACCATTCGATCGCTCTCGCTAGGCAAGATTATTCCGATATTGCGATACACGTTAGAAAAATATGCTATGCCTAAAATAGGATGAAGGCCTGAAGGCAACCATTCCGTCGATATTACTGATAATCGGTGTGTGTACGTGTGTGTGAGTGGCGTGTGTATGCGCGCGTTTTTTGTTTTTTTCTATACTCAATTCTGATTTTTCTCATTGGTATCATTCCTAAAAATACGCCAAAACCAAAAATAAAATAAATTTCTCAACAAGAACCATATTGACACAAAATGTATAATATATACATTGTCCATGAAGTCAGCGCCTAGTTGTCTCAGTAAAAACTACGGAAAAATCGTATATGAATTATTCTCATATTTACTCATATTTACTTTCATATTTAATACCAAAAGATTTTCTTCAATATAAGTCTTAATTTCTAAATATTGTTTAATCAAAAATTGTCTGCAAATTTAGTGCTTCTTTATGTTTTAAGAAGAGATGAACTCGCTTTCGAATGAAGTAGTTTTTAGCGGCAATATATGTAAAATAGTTGGTAAACGGGAGTAAAGTTTACTATCTTGTTCGATCTTGAAGAAAAAGAAACTCAACTTGACAGATATATATATGTTTTACGATATTACACATTTAACACAACGATTTATATTTATATCGAGAATAAAGAGTGTTGCTGTACATTTTCCCAAATAGCGCAAAATAATAATCTTAAGCAAGTAATCTTTAACGAGGATACATTTATGCCTACTTTATACAGGTAAGTCCTAATTATACAAAACGAGAAATAAAAGAACGGCAGCACATATAAATTAAGCGCTTTGTCTTAGGATACAAAAAAGAAAAGAACAAAAAATTAATTTAATGCACGCGAAATCGAAACGTCACAGTATGTATATTTATCCTTTTTCAATATCATTTCTGTTTTCAAACTATAATTTATGAAGATCTCTTAAAGATCAAATAGAGCGGAACTTGCACGCTGCTGTATCATATCCACTCATCTCATTTTACAATAACAAAGTTAAGTAGCTATAACACCTTTAGCTAGATGCTATAACTTTACAAATATATATATATATAATATAACTACTTATGAATAAAAACAAAATTTCGGCACGAGTCTGTGAAGCGCGGGGAAGAAAAATAGAAGTATGTACGTGGATTATAAAATTTATCAGTGTAATATCCTTCGCACGATTTTTTATCATATGTTCACGCTTTACAAACGTTAACAGTTCTTTTTTTTCATCGTTCTTATAATGCCCGGCCTCTCTAGATATCTTATTGATTATTTACTTTTACATTATGCGCTGCTATGCAGCACCGGAATACCTCGCGCAGCTATCCTACAAAACTCGCAAAACAAGCAAAAATAATGAAGAAAACGAGTAAACTAATTGACGATCTTTCAACCATTAACAGTTTGTTTTCATATTCTAAAACAAATCAAAGATATTTTAAAGGTTTTAAATTTACATGTACCAGATTTGCAGCCATAATGTAAATAAGTATTTGCAATATGGATTGAAACATATCTAATGAGTAATAATTGCTGGTTATATTCACGTGAATATTGGACATAAACACACAGTACTACTTATATCTCATTGCATTATGTATATGAATCAATAGACTAATGTATTTAATTATTAGACTAATTATTAACCTAAAGATGATCGGTAATCACCATCAATGTCAGCCGTTATCTAAAGCAACATTCTTTAAAAGTTGTTTTACTTTTTTACATACAAACGAAACAACGCATAAAATTTGTCGAACTAACTAAAGAGACGTCCTGGACTGACTGACCGCACAGAGTTTTGCTTTTCCATAACACGAACTTATAATTTCTCGCAAATTTTTATTTAAGTAAATAAACATACGATAGAATAATTGTAAACTGTAATAATGAAAAAGATGATGATAATGATAATGATGATAATAATATGAATAATAATAATATGAATAATAGTAGTAATAGTAAGCTGGCAGCAGTTAGTAACCAGGTGTGTAATGTGTGTGTTGTGTGTATGTGTGTGTGGTATGTATATATATATATATATGTACGTATATATATATATATATATACTCTCAATTAAAATTCTTTCACTAGAAGATTCTGAAACTTACATGGCACTGACATTCAATAATGAGTCATTCACTCACGCGCACGCATTCTAATTTGCAATCTTTCGTTTATTTGTTTTATGTGATATTTGTCCTTTTTTTTATATTTTTCTCACTTTTCTCGGTGTTTATAGAACTACAAAAAAAACAAAAACAAAAAAAAAACAAAAAAAAAACAATTTTTCTGTCGTTCTTACGTGCTCATTCGCATTCATTCTTTCACTTTCTCTCGATCTTACACACTCGTTCGTTCCACTCCTCAACGTGCGAATCAGCTGCCAGATAATTTAACTCGTTTTCTTCGTTTTTTTATATTGTTTGTTTATATAGTTGTAATAACCATTTTCCCAACTACATGCTAAATAGTTCAAATTTTTTGCACTTTTTCACCAACAACAACTGGATTGTTGCGCCGAATTTCTTGAGCGCCCATTTCTTTGTAGTTGAATTTGCAATCGTGCTTGTCACTGTACCGATGCACGGCACAGAACAGTCCTCCGCAACGGCACTCAAATCCTAGAAGTTTATTACAGTTAAAACCGATCACACTTTATTTTACGAATAAAAAAGAAAAAGACTTGTCTATCGTATATTAAAATATTTACACTCTTACCGGTTAAACCAACTTTTTTACGACATACAGCACAACGATTTTTCTTCTTCTTAGATTCTTTATCAGTCTCTTTGCCATCAAAGGAATCGTCTACATCTCCACTACTCGCTGATGAAGTTTCAGCTACTGCACTGCTTACACCTACTTCACTCTCCTGATCTTCCCTGTTTACCTGATTGACAAAAATATAACACGTACTGTAAGCATAATGGAAATAATTAGTTACCACTATTGTTTTTCTTGTTTCTTGAATTTCCTTTATATTTTTTTGTGTTCAAGTTAATGAAAGTAATTGTGTTACTAAATGTTAAAATTCCAAACACACAAAACTGTAAAAATATTTGTACTAGTTTTAATCATTATTAATATTCTACACTCACAATAAACATGTTTTTACTATAATAATTCAAAAAATAAATAATCCTATGTATAATTTAGAAATATTTCAAATAGATATTGTCTTCTTAAAATACACAAATAATGTTTTATAATTTCTTGTTACACAAATCTGTATATACTTTTTATGTAACAACAATCTTTTCTGACACAACAATACTCTGTTCAATATATCTTTATATATATTGTACATTTTGTCAGTTTTTTTTAAATTTGTTTTGTCTTGCTATTCTGTCAAAATTTTTTATACATTAAAAACAATTTGATATATATACGACCTTGTGGGTCCAGGACAGCTTATAAGCGCTACCTTCTGCAAATTAATGGAAAGAACAAAGACATTATGATTGTGCTATAAGAAATATGAAAGATATATGTGAAGACACTCACTTCTTTGGGACTGGGCAGATCTGACGTTGACTGAGGTATTGTAGGAATGGTAGGTTGAGCTGTCGTTCCTGTAGCTGCTGGATTCCCAAAACTCCCTTGCAATGTGCCAGTATTACTAGAGCCTGTTTGTGAAGTTGGTACAGCAGCAGCTGACACTGGAGGCTGTTGTTTCTTTTTCAGATTTTCCTTATAGCAAAGAGAACAAAGGCCCTCAGTAGCAGGAGAACCATAAAATCCGCAACCACTGCGGCACAGAGCTTGCATAGGATTAGATTCTCGTTCCATGATTCTTGTCTTTTAATGTCTCTCTTTTTCAACTAAAGAGACTTGGATTTATATTTTTAGTTGTAATCACTGTCTTGAGAAACAGTGGTTAGTTGCAGTCAGCTTGGTGCAGGATAACTAAGTGCCCTTTGCCACAGCTCTCTCCCTAATTGTTCTTCCACAACCGTGTGTCACCATATACTCACCTATACGTAAATAAATTGTATAATTAATAGCAGATAATTAATCTAGTAAGTAATATAATACTTTTAGTAAATAAATTACACAGATTTCATACAGAGTAAATACAATAAATATAAACTATACAATAAATATAATTTCAAAAATTTAATTTAAAATACATTAATATTTAAAATTATTGTACAAATAGATTATCTTATTTTATGTACAGAATCAAATGACAATGCAAGTAATAATACGAGAATATTATAGATTCCAAAAAAAGACTAAAACCTTTTGTATCGTACTCATAATGAAAGAATATCGTAATATTATGATTTTTGACAGAAGCAATATATGTACAAAATATACAAGCAAAAAAGATGTATATACGCATATATGTATACACAAGCACAAACACACACACATATAAACACACACCAATCTTTTAATTAAATATAAAAAAATATATGATCACAAGATAGGATTACAAACCACATATAAATTGCAATGTACTCATATAACAGGTACGTAAAAACAAACAATAAGTTAACTATATCAAAAAGACTAAATATGAAAGAGCAAACCCTGATTGTATCAATAATTGATTATACTTCTTGTATATAAGACACGTATTTTTTTGATTTAACATCTTTTTTGTGGACACATCACGACACATGTTAACTGAAATTTTAAGCAAATGGCAGAGGAAGAAAAGAGGTATGACAAACTCAAACGAAAGAGAGAGAAAACGGGAATATGTGCTCGATGAAGAGGAAGAGAGGAGAGGGGAAAAGAGAGGGAGAGACGAAGAGAAAGAGAGAGAGAGAGAGAGAGAGAGAGAGAGAAAGAGAAAAAGAGAGTGAAAGAGAAGGGGGAAGGGAGAAATAATAATTTCTAGGAATTTTTACTACGTCATCTTGGCGATCTGATTTTTTTCCGACGAGAGGCGTGATCGCATAGCGTGATATTACTCACTTTCCAACACGAAGCCGTGTTGCAACCGATGCACAACATGGAGTAGGAATTTGCACGAGGCATTTAAGTAGTGGCACAACCGTATTCTTTATCGCAAACACCCCGCGCGACAAGAGCGACGAGAGATTCGCCTGTCTCTCTCTGCCGTGACTCGCAATGGCTCGATCTCGTTTTGATAATCCCTCGCAGCGCACTTCACGCAAACTCACGACGACAGAGAGCCTCTTCTCACGTCACTTGCGTCGTGTTACAAACAGCAAGAGCGAACTGTGGAATTCCCAAGATTACAACTCTGCTACGCGTGTTCACGACTTCCCGTCGCGAACGCTCGATATTACTCGAAACCGCGGAGTCCCGCAAGGACGTAGAAGAAACAACGATAACGACGGGCGAATGTTTTCATGATGGCGATCGGCCCGTCAGGCGCTGCTGGCTTTTGGGCGGACGCGTAAGCGACGACGCGGAGATATGGCGGTAACGTTGCGCGACGCGACGCGACGCGTGATACGACGCAGCGAGTGTAGCGAAGCGGCGGCGCACTGAGAGAGCTCGATCGTGAACACGGAACTTTAATGTAACCGCGAGAGGTCGCCCGCTATTGCACCCGATGTTCGCGCGGGGCGCGCTTTCTCTTTATTACAAATTTATCTTTCAATAAGAATTTGTACATATATGTACGATATATCTATATATTTGATCGTATTAATTTTCTTATGATTTTGTATACGTTGCGACTATGACATACTTTTGAATTATTTTCTAGAGCGATTTGAACGCAAACTACAAATTTTAATAGTGACAAGCCTGTGATTAGCTACATCGCGCGCTTTTCTTTTTCATACTCGGCTATGATTTAATTTTTAAAAATTTTATTTTATTGCAAATGTATTAATATTATATTTAATAACATATATTGAGACAAAATTTGACGTGCAAAAAGTAATTGCTTACAAAGTAGAAACAAGTCCATAGGAAAATCTTTTCCGTATTACCCTTAAAAATGACATCAAACATTATCTAGGTCACCGATTTAGACGTTATCTTATAACATTTATTTTACTTAAAAAAGAATTATGCTTAACAAAATTACATACTTTCATTTAATGTATATCTAAATCACAGTTATTCGATATATCTGAAAATTTACTAGACATTGAACGTTTTCAACACTATTTTGGTACGGTTCTATAAACATGTTCTAATAACTTTTTTCTAACTGACGGTTGACCAAATATTTTTTATCTTCCCCGACTTGTTGCAAGTAAAAAGTATTTTGATTCAAATGTAGTTTTTATATGAGAAAATTACGGTGATGTCATGAATTATGACAATGTAAGAACAAATACATACATAATCTCTACTTCTAAAAACTTTCTACTCCAATACATATTTCATAAATAAGTTTTTAAGCGTTCTACAAATTTTAAAACATAAACCAAGTACTGCCTGTAAATAAAAATTATTCCGAATTGTAAAATTATCACATATAAAAACATAAGCAAAATTTTATTCTAGAACAAGTTTAAACATAATGGATTGAGAAATTGTAAGAATTATCTCGGATGTTTATAGAAAAGTACGAGATGTGTAAATAAATGTCTGAGTGTGCAAGTAAACATCAGCGTTAACTGCATCAGTTGATAAAAAGAAATATTTTTATTGGGTTTCGATAAGCGTCATGTAATTATCGTGTTTACGTAATTGTATGTTCATTTTTTTATCGTAATATTCAAGAAATTCCGAGTGAAACTTATAATCTTTATATATTTGACAGCATTTTTTAATCAATAAATTATTTGTCAAATAAAGTCGGCTAAAGTCCGTCTCAATGATTATATCGCAGATAATTGAACACGATTACGTGTTATATCTAACTACAAGGCAATATCGTTAAAAAGATTTCAAACGTTTTTAAATTAAAGTAATATAAAACTCGTACTAAAAACACTTTGCATAATAAAATCTATTTTTCCCATAGTAGTCTATCTGCGTAACTTAAAGTAGTTATTCATTTTTTGCACAACCATCTTTTCTTATTATCGTGCGATGCAAATTATAATATAACACGCAACATGCAAAAAGTTGAATTAAAACTATTCGTTCAGAAGAAATCAGATTTGAGAAACGGCTGCAAAAACGTTTGTGTAATTAACTAGACTGGAGCAATGTTGCAAAATAAGGTAATTATGTAGAATAGGGGAGCCACCTCCGATTTCAATAATTTTTATATATGTTGTCAAGGTCATTGTCCCGAGTAATAATATGAAGGTTTTAGGCCGCGGTCGTTGTTTGTGTAGAAGTTACAGAGGAAAGAAGTCTACTGAACAATATGTAATTTTTGGACATCCTATATATGAATGTGTTCTGCATGTGTTTGGGCACATGTTTGTTTATACGCTTTTGTAGTTGTATCTTGAAAGGTCGTTTCATGGAAAATGCCTCTTATGTTCGTGAAGAATATCTTTTTGATCATTATTTGGCCGAATTTGCATTTAAGAAAACGTTCGATTTCGATGAACGATTGGACGCTTTTTTTGAAATAATGTCTGTAACAGACATTATTTTTGATCTCACGTACATTTCGTTCGTGTTTCAAGCGTGTAGGCAGGGGGGGGGCTGCGCCTCCCCTTGCTCCCCCCTCGAAAATCAAGTCGTTATTTTGTGGAAAATAACGACTTGATTGGATGAAAAAAGATGTCCTAACCATTGTGGAAATTTTGCGAGAGGGAATGCAGAAAGAAGAGTTTAGGTTAGGGTTAGGTTAGATTTTTAGAGGAGAGGTGCAGGGGGGCACAGCCACCCTTGCCTACACGCTTGAAAAACGAACGAAATGTACGTGGAACCAAAAAATAAGAATTCATTCATAAAACTTCTTCCTCTCATTACTTCTAAACAAACAACAACTGCGGCCTAAAACCTTCATATTGTTACTCGGAACAATGACCTTGACAACATATGTAAAAATTATTGAAATCGGAGGTGGCTCCCCTATTCTGCATAAGTATCCAATTTCCAATAGATAACATTACAAAACCAGCACAAAGTCTAAGGTCAGTATTTGCAATCACTGTATTTTGTAAGATTTTTTATTTTCTAAAAATGTAATATTGACAAAAGTTTCTACATTTGTTAATTGTATATAACATGTTCATGTTAATATTTAATAGAATAATATGTATAATCAAAATTAAAAATCAATATATCTTGTGACGTGACGTTTTTTCGGCGCCCGTCACAGTGTAATTAGCACGGCCTGAGAGAAGGACGGTAGGCTCGCGTCTCTCACGATTTGGAGAGAGCGACTTATCTTTGTTGCGTGGTGCACTTAGATGCATCGATTTTGCATTGTTGGTGCGTTCTGCACCGACTTTGAGTACCGTGCGCCGACGGGCGCAAGCAAATATTTCGCGCGTATTATCGTGTATTGGCTATTTTATTTTAATGTGAATTGCGTTGCGTGAGCCGCAGGGCGGCGTATCGTTTTGTGTGTCTGTGCTGTTTTGTTTTAGCAACTTGAGAGAGACTCATTATGCATCGGCGTTAACAAAAAACGAAGAAGATGAGAAGACAGCTAAGCAGGAGCATACGACGTGGAGAGCAGAGTGGCGAGAAGAGATCGCATCCAGGGCGTGATATCCGGTGGAGGAGACGATATGGTTGCCGAGTAAGATCCAAGGCTATCTG